TCCAGGGTTGCGATCTCCAGCCAAGGGTCCTGGGTTCCTTGGTGGCTTCAGGAGCCCAAACCTGCAGCTTGGATAATAGCGCCTTCTGTCCTCCAACCTGAACTTCTCAGTAGACACATGGACACATAAATCAATGCACAGGCACAATCTAGGTGGTTTCTTTCTTTTTTTTAATGGGGTGGGATGTGGTGGCGTCAGTGACTGCTGATCCAAGGTGGCCTTTGATCCCTCTGGAATTGAAGGAGGTGTTTCTTCAAGAACAGCACCACCTTCATCTTCCTCTCAGGTGGCTTCGGACCATCTGCTTGCTGAGCGGTGCCCTTGGCCTGATCCAGCTTCAAGGCTCTCCGGAGACCTTCTACAGGGTGCCCGGGAACCCCTTGCCCCAGGGAAGCCTGAGCGAATGAATTTCCTTGGGACAGTTGAGGGCACGTTCTACCCTGGTTTCCCTGGCCCCAGCTTGGTCTCCTGCTAAGCTTTCTTCTTCCCCTCGTCCCCGGGGAAGCAGCCAAACCCAGAAGGGTCAAAGAGGGGGAAGGGCTTAAGCCTGTTTGCAATGCAAGCAGGGCTAGAGATAAGCGGGGGAGCTTCCTTAGATCAAAGCCACAGAGAGCCTGGGAAAATTTCTCCCCATCGGTGTCCCTGACTGTGAAAAGCCACGCCTGGGCGGCTGTTTATCTGGGCCAGTGCGTGAAACAACATTTCAACTCCCTGCCTTTTTTCCAGCTGGTATCCGGGCTCAACAAGTGCCAAGAGAGCCTTGCGGGAGGATCTGAACATGCTTTCAGAGGGCAGCACCATTTCTCTCCGATCGGAGCACCCAGCGTGCCCTGAAAGAGGCTTGCCCTGAGCCAGGGGATCGCGTCACGTAAATTGAGTTATTCTCTCCGATCCTGAAGGAATCGCCTTCAGACTATCCCCCTCTTCAGTTTCACTGCTTCTGTATTTCAGGCTTCTGGGCTGACTCCAAAAAGGGCTTCACATGCTTGTCTTTCCCAGTTGGGCTCCAGTTTCACTCGTGGGTGGAAGTTGGAACTCCAGCTGGCCGAAAGAGATGGTTGTCTTGATGTAGACTAAATGCTTGGGAAGGACTGTATGTCAGCAAGCATGGAGAGGGAGCCTCGGTGGATGCTGAGAAGCAGAGTCCATACCTTCAAGGTAGACTGCTAAGAGAGGCTGAAGAAGAGGCTCCTCCACTAACCCAGTGGAGCAGAAGTGGAAGAAGAAGGAGAGGCCGAGTCTTTTAAGTGAGGGTCCTGGCTTATCCTTCTTCTTCTGGCCTCTGGACAACTTCAGGCATTTTGGAGTCTCCAACTCTGGAAGTTCATCCAACAGCCCTTGGTCACCTTGAGTGAGCAGGGATCCTCTCTAAGGAAACAGACCAAGAAAAAACCATTTTTAAAGAACTATTACCATCTGGCAGGGGGTACAGAATAATAAAAACTAGGACAAATCGGCTGAAAAACAGCTTCTATCCCAGGGCAGGAGCTCTGTTGAATTCTGTTGTGTAGTGCAGTGTTGGTGTGGTGTCGGGGTTTCCGGTTCAATGTGTGAAGGGTGAAGGATGTGTGTTCGTGTTTATTTTCATGGTTGTGATGTGCACTGAAGATGGTGTTTGATTTTGTTGTACGAGGTGCAATGACGATAAAGGAAACTAAGCTAAATGGGCATGGTCTCAAGGAAGAGGCGGACATTGGGTCCTCAAAACGAGTGGCCACCTTTGCTCGAGACCAGGGCCAAATCCTACCTTGTGGCTGGGACCATGAGATGGCAGAAGGTGAAGTTGGTGGGATTGCACCAGAAATGACAAATACAGGAAGTCAAGAATGATAAGGGACTTACTCATTTCTTATCACACTTGCTCCACCTTCTCTTCCTTTCTTGGCACATTGCTTCTTCTTTCCCTTGCATTTATGCAGGTTAGCATCCAGATCGCTGGTCTTGACGATTTTTCTTGAGCCAAAACTTCTTCTGAGAGGGACGTTTCCCCATCAGCAAAGTACGACCACCGTCTCGTCATAAGGTGAGGAGCTCCGGGAGTCCCTCCGTGCTGGTTGGGTGGGTTTGTGGGATGACAGGCACCCCCTCACCTCCTGGGGCAAGTTAGAGTAGCAAGGAAGTTGGCGAGCAGAGAGAGCCAACGACCTCCGACCCCATTTGTCCGAGAGGGAGAATGAGTTCTCCCCCAATCCCTCCCAAGGGACAGAGCCGCTAGAGTTAAAACCGGCTGCAACCCAGTTTGTGGTTGGGTGGGAGGGCGTGGGAGACACTTGGCAAACTCAGCACACCCGGCTTAGGTCTCATGCAGCCAAACTGGTGTGATGGGTCACCAAATTGGAAGCTCAACCACCTTCCCCTTCTGTCCTGGTCGGTCCAGGGGCCCCTGGTGAAACCAGTTGATCTCCCTGCAGAAGCCAAACACGGCCTAGGATCCATTCTCTGGGACGCACCTGGAAAAGAGGTGGAACTTGGATCGTAATGCGGTGGCCACAATTCTCTTGACTTTTTTGACTCTGCTCTGCAGAAACCTCTGGTGGTTTGCATCGGAAGGGACAGGTATTAGCTGCCCACTCAGGCATGGCAAGGCTCAAGTCCTGTTAAAAATGCAGCCCTGACTTGGAATGCCTGCACCCATTTGGGGCGGTGGGTCTGTGGGCCGGAATGCCAGGATCTTCTACCCATTCTGGAAAAAATGCAGAGGGAGAAGGTGGGCGCCCTGGCTAAACCAGGCCAAGGTCTGTCCTGGTGGAGGCAGGAATTCTTTAGCCAGATCATCAGTGGAGGGGGGAACGGAGAAGGCCGCCTTCATTCTGCGGTTTGTGTGGCCTTGTTCCATCTGTTTGTTTTCCTTCTCGTCTTGCGGCTGTGTTTCCAAACACCTGATAGCCTCGAGGTTGTGCGCACGAAAGCTGAGCAGACAGTTCTACAGGCATCCTTATCGCCTGCCCAGAAAGCAACAATTCGGGTGCCCCAGGAACCTGCCAGGAACAACACAGCGCTGCAAGGGGCCTGTCCTTGGGGGGGGCAGAGATAGAAAAGAAAACTAGGGGAAAGAGAGTCCTATCATTTTTTGGGGGGGCCGGGGGGTCTGCTGGGGAGGTGGCTGCCTGTGTTGGCGGTCAGGGCCTGAGTCAGGAGGCTTCTAAATTGGGACATCCTGTTTGGGTTTTGAGATGACAAAGTGCTGAGTTGCTTGCGTGCAACTGCTTTGCAGAACCTCTTTGCAAAGTTGGGTGAGGCTGCTGGGAGCCCACCCAAGTTGAGGAACAAGACTCTGAATGTTCCCATCAGAAGTAGAGCCACCCCGCTTCACCCCAAGGGCCTCTCCAGCAGTGCCTCATGGGCCGTTGGGCATTCTGAAGAATGGGTCCCAGCAGCCCAAGAAGGACGTGCCTAGAAGCTTTGGCGCTTTTTCTGAAGTCCTGGTTGGGGTTCTCCTCAGCCCCCTTCCAGCTTCTGAGAAGTTCTGCTCCATCCTCAGAAATCCAAGAATTCAAGAAGAGACTGTCAGAAATGGCGTAGGCTCTCCTGCTTGGGGGAGGTTAGACTAGATCACCTACAAAGTCCCTTCCAACTCTGTTAATCGAATCAAATCGAATCGAATCCCGGATGTGGAGATGTCAATTCTGAGGTCAAAAGCAGCGGAGGGTCATTCATTAGCTTGAAGGGAAACGCCAGGGCGTGTTGTTGGTCCCAGGAGATGGAAAGTCTATTGGGTGGCCAGGACATGGTTCCATTTATTCGGAGTCATTGCCCCAAAGTATTTACCCAATCAGTCTGACCTAATAGGTTACATTCGGACATGCATCCTATCACCTTCTTGGCAGAGTCCTTCCCTTCACACCTATCCTGCTCCTTGAGGTAACCACCAGAGTAGGAGGGCTACTCCAGGGATACAGGGGAGAAAATCCCCCTCACTGAGCAGTATTATCCATAGCCTTTTGGTCAGGAGGATACAAAATCCTTGCCGTGCCTCTGAGGTGTTGATGCCTTGGGCCACAACCTCCAGCCCGTCACTCGTAGATTAAATCCATTCCCTCCCCAAAGAGTCCGTGGTGGCCTTCCAGAGAGAGGTGGAGTTCTGATTTGACCGGCTTCTCTGGAGCATTTCTTCATAAAACCCCCTTTCCCTCCTGAGTGAAGCTTTCCGGAGGGCCAGGAATCTCTCTGCGGCCAGCCAAGGAAGGTCCCTGAGGGAATAAAGAGCGAATTAGGTGGAGCCACTGGGGAGTTTTGCTCCTCAAATGGGTCACCTTAATTAGTGGTGAAGAACTGCACCAGGAGAAGAAGGGGCCCTTGGACTGGGTTAGGAAGTAGGAATGAAGACCCCGAACAACCCACGGACGTCGCCCTGGTCTTCTTGAAAAAAGATCCTTACATTTCTAAAAAGACAACAGAGTTGGAAGGGACCTTGGAGGTCTTCTAGTCCAGCCCCCTGTTCAGGCAGGAGACCCTATATGATTCCAGACAAATGGCTCTCCCATCTCTTCTTAGAAACCCCCAGTGTTGGAGCAGGGTCACAACTTCTGGGGGCAAGTCGTTCCACTGACCCATTGAACATTCTACCGACTCAGTTGAATTAAGGAAAGGGGGGGGCGGGGGTGGTTGAAAAGCCAGCAGGCCGTCATTTTCTGGAGGGAATCCATGTTTGTCCTTACGAAAAGGCGGGGCTCCGAGCTCTGCCCAACGCAGGACCTTCATTTTGTAGGGTCCCCCCAAGCTTTTCTCCTCCTTGAGAGAGAACCTACACCCCCCCCCTCACCTCCTCCTCCCACCCAAAGAGAGAGCTTATCCTTTATGGATAACGGGCACTGCTGGCTCCACCCAGGATGGCAGAGTCTCTGATTCTGCCAATGCAGAGCCACCCAAACTGCTGCCCGCCTCCCTCCCTCCCTCCCTCCCTCCCACCCACCAGGACCAGGAGGGAAAGCAAAACAGCCACCAACTTCCCCGAGAGGGTTTCCTCTTTCCAAAAAAAAGAAAGCAGCTGCAAAGCAGCTTAAACCCAGCCCTCGCCTCGAATGGCTCATTGAACAGGAGCATTGCTCGCCTCGTCCTCGGCTGATATTCTTCGTTCCGCCGGGTGTCATTGTTTGTTTTGTACCCTTGGCAGGAAAAGTTCCCAATAAGGCCGACTCGGCTGATCTTCCTCCGTATTCCTGCGTTGAGCCTCGCTTGTTGACGGTAAGAAGACTCAGGTCACAAGGGCCTGTCTGAATGCCGCTTTTTCTTGGCTCCTGCGCCTGGCCTGCTCTGGCTGGGGACATCATTTGGGGAAACGAAACCTGTGCGGGTATTATTGTACCTGGCTGGTGTGTGTGTGTGTGTGTGTGTGTGAGATTTTGCAGTGGGTCCTTGGGGGGCCCCTTCCCAAGCATGGAAGCTTATCAGAGATCCAACCTAGAATTAAGGAGACGTTTCCTGACCTTCAGAACTATCAATCACTGGAATAATTTGCCTCTGGGAGTGATGGGAGCTCCGTCGCTGGAGGTTCTTAATGAGATCGGACCTTTTGTCCAGAACGGCACAGGGTCTCTTGCCTGACCAGGGAGTTGGGCGCTCAAGATCCTTTCCAAACTCTGTTATTCTGTATTTTAATCCAGCTGAACCAAGGCTTGCCATTCCTTCTCGCTTGGCTTCCTCCTATGATTATTGAGGTGGCCAAGGAAGGAACCTCGGGTCTGGAATCCTAGCTCAGCTTGCCCACAGCTTTGGAAAGACAGTTCATCTGGGTCTTCTGAGGCCTCGTCTTGCTGGCAGAAGCCCACCGCCCATCTGTTTCCTGGCCCCCAGATGTAAAACCTGCCCATGAAATATTAATGTTTTTGTCTGCTTGGAAATCCTTGGTCTGCCTTTTAAGCTCCAGCTGAACATTTCTCACTTGGTTCCACTCAGCAGGATCTCCAAGGTGAAGAGCAGTGCTGATGAAACAAAATGCTTTTGAGTTGCATTCTTAGATGAGATTTAACCCATGTGGACTTCAACTCTGGCTGGGGGATTCTGGCAGCTGAAGCCCACGTGTCTTAAAGTGGCCAAGGTTAAGAAACATTGTCTTAACCCATCAAAGTTTCCCACTCCCATTTGTATTGTCTTTGAGAACAGTTTTGAGTATTGCAAGTGATACTATTAAAATTTCAAAGCTCACCAGGGTTTTACTTTCACGCGAAAAACATGCTAGCCCTCTATTTATTACATATTAAAGAACTGACACCACTGTGCTCTGCTTGCCAAAGGATTTTTCCTTCTTTTTAAAATGCCAGCTAGACAAAGTCTACCGATGCTTTGATACAGTTTGATCTAACAGAGGGACCGGACTGATGTTCCACCACTAGATGTGTGATCTGTCTTGTCTCTCCTGCAAGGGGTTCTGGGACATTTTTCAAGGCAGGATGCTCATTTATTTTGGAGAATGCCGTATTCAGCCTCCTCCTTCCGTTCATTGGAATTGGCGTCACCGGGTAGGATTGGGGTCATCCAAGGAAGAAGTTGTGTAGAGATTAGTCTATGTCCCTCTCCATCCATCCATATCAATTAGTTTTGACTTGCAACAATAATTCTTTGTGTTTACTCAGTTGTTACTCAGCCATTACAGGCAGCCTTAGATGAGGCTAGCTCTCACTGGCTTGTCCTATCAGCCCTCACTCTTCTGTGTTTCCTAACTGTGCTGTAGAGCTACCTTGGCATCATGTCAATTTTTTGACTTACCTGTGTTCCAACAGATCATGGGAGAATTCGAGAACACTACGGATTACTTAGACTATGATATTTTCGAAGACCTCATTCCTGTCAGAGACACATACAGAAAAGAAACCTCAATAGAGCCTCTGACCATTGTTCAAGTGGTCACCGCTCTCATCTACAGCATCACCTGCCTCCTGGGTCTATTGGGCAACGGTTTGGTCATCGCCATTATCTTCAAGATGAAGAAGACAGTCACCACCATCTGGTTCCTCAACCTGGCAGCTGCTGACTTCCTCTTCAACGTCTTCCTGCCCCTGAACATCGCCTACACCGCCATGGGTTTCCACTGGGTTTTTGGCAGAGACATGTGCAAAGTCAACAATTTGCTTCTCAACCTCAACATGTACACCAGTGTGTTTCTGCTGACCATCATCAGCTTTCACCGCTGCGTTTTGGTGATCTTCCCAGTCCAATCTCAAAAGCATTGGACCCCGACAATTGCCTGGGTGGTCTGCGTCGTCATTTGGGTTTTCGGTTTTCTAATGAGCTCCCCTTCCATTGTTTTCCGAGACACCACAACCTTCCACAACCGCATCCTTTGTTTCTACAACTTCTCCTTGTCTAGTTCTCGAAATGACTCTGGCCTTGGCACCCAGAAACACAAAATGGTAACCACCTTTCGCTTCCTGATGGGGTTTATCTTACCAGTGATCATTATCACAGTATGTTACATTACCATAATTTTTCGCCTGAAAAAGAACCGCCTCACCAAGTCCAAGAAGCCGTTGAGAATCATTGTCACCATTATCACCACCTTCTTCTTGTGTTGGTGTCCATACCATACCCTCCACCTCCTGGAAACTGACCATCGCTCAGTTCCAGAAACAGTCTTTGAAATTGGGTTGCCCCTTGTCACCGCCATCGCCGCTTCCAACAGCTGCATGAACCCGATCCTGTACGTCTTCATGGGCCAAGATTTCAGGAAGTTTAAGGTAACCATCCTGTCCAGGCTGGCGAATGCCCTGACCGAGGACACAATCAATTCGGTCCACTCATTCTCACGCAAGAGCGTCACCAAAGCCAGTTCAATGACTGAAAAAGAATCCATTTTACTCTGAGCTTTGGAACCCAACGTGGATTACAGTAGATCCTGGTTTCCAGCAATGATCCAAAGCTCCTGATGGTTGCCTTCTTGGATTATTCCGGTGGTTTCAGGAAGGACTTGATACTGGCTTGGTGAATCTAAGCCAATGGTGGTTATAAGTACACTCTTGTTTATTCTTATCACAGCATTTTGCAGGTTATGGCATAAACACCTGACCCTAACCACAGAAACAAACTTCACGACAAAGGAAGGCTTGATGGTTGAACTTCAGCCTGTAAAGTCTTCACTGCATCCTACAAGTTCTTCGCAATAAGCATATTTTGAGCTCTGGGGGAAATGGACCCCCCCTCTCTGATCTGAGAATTGGGAAGTTTAGGGTTTGTAGAGATTCTCAGTCCTCCAGGTCCTGGTTGTCCCCAAGGTGCTTTTTTCAGGAGGAAACTGGACTTTCTTGGTTTTTCTTTGAAGACATTTCACTTCTCATCCAAGAAGCTTCTTCAGTTCTGACAGGATGGCGGGGAATTGCCTCCTTAAAAAGCACCTTTGGAAATTTAGGGTGAATTTGTTTTAGACAGGACTCTGAAACAGATGGGTATGTGTGTGTGTGTGTGTGTGTTTCCTAATCCTTTGTACCTGTGCAAATCCAGGTGTGATTTCTCATTCTGTCACCTTCCAGGTGAGCAGACATGCAAGAGATTCATTTCCTGCAATCGTCAAGTTTCCCAGTGGAGAATTTAATTCTGGTAAAATAAAATAAAAAACCTTCTTTCCATACTATAAATCACTCTTCGGAGAATCATCATTTCATACAGTTCTGTCCAGCAACTTTCTCTCTCTTGTTGACTTTTCCCTGAGATTTCATAGTCCACGAATAAATCTTTGCTCTAAGAGGCGGGTGGTGCATCCCATCTATTCAATTTCATGCCCAGTTAATTTGGGAAATAATTCATTTTCCGCTCTTTTTCTTTTCGCTGATGAATAGACCTAAATCTGAGGCGCTGAGCTAGAATCCAACCCTGGATTTATAACTTGATCAGTTGGTTTTCCTTATCCCAGATCTAACAAAACCGCTTCGGATTGTATCTGGAAAGACCTGGGCTATGGAAGCTCTCTTTCTGAATCCTTCTTTCCCCCCCGAAGGGTCAGGCAGAACAACGTCTCCACCCTGGAGTAGATCAACAAGGATCTCTAACTCCTGGCAGTCTCCCCAGATACAACCAGAATTAAAAAGGAAGTTGTGGAAATTTGATACACCGGGAACAATCTCTTGCATGAAAGAAATAGTTCCTGGACATGCAAACATTTTTTCCAGCTGGTGAATCTTAAAGGATGAGAGTCCGTCATTCAAGTCCCAGCAATACGACGTGTGTTGAACATCAATCTGTCGTCTCAGGTTTTCTACAAATGAAAAAGTATGTACCAGTAGGTGTTGTATGTAAGATTCCTAACAAGTATATCTGTATTTAAGATAAGTTGGGGTTTTTTTTAACTTGGTATTTCTAAAGATACGCACTGTTGTTGTTTTTTTCATAAGCAATTTTGTAAAGTCCACCTTTTTTAAATGAAAAAAATAAATTCCAAGCAGTGATATCCTGTAGCATTTGTGTTGCAAAGTGGGGCGTATATTAAATAAAGAGACACATTTTTGTGCGATGGTTTGAGTGAAGGAATATTTGGAGGGGAAAGTATTAATAGGTCAGGTGGCTGGGGAATTCTGGGAGTCGAAGCCCAGCAGTCTTAAAGTTTGCCAAGACTGGACACCCCTGAATAAATACCTCAGCGCAATCTGGTGCTGGTCTCTTCTAAGAACCTTAACTATGAAGTTTTCCATGATCTTCTTCTCGGCTCTGGAGGGGCTGCTAAAAACATCACCAATAAACAACGGCCTTTAGCGCCTCTGTGTTTTTCATCTGCAAAGTGTTTTGCACATTTTCATCTAATTAATTCAAGTGTTACCCAAAGAGGGCAAATTTGTGAGGGAGATAGATGATCAAGGGAAAATTCCTTTCAGAAGCAGACCAACAAGCGTTGGGTGAGGCCAAGGGAAGCTCTGCCTTAAGACGAAGGCTCCGGTCTCGAATAATGTATTTTCGTACTTATTTCCACAAAGGCATGCACCTTTAGGTAGATTAAAAAAAAAAACTTTTTTTAAAATGGATGCTTTGGAGAGGGGTGAATTTCAGAAGCATTTGGCTTCTGCAGATTTTGGAAATGAAAGGGACGTTGTGTCTAAAGACAGACTAGACATTAGAGAGATTGAAGATTAGCATTCATATTGTGAACTTCTGAGAATACGAAGGTCTAAATTATCCAGCAGAAATTTTAAAAAGTAAGAAACCAAAATCAAGCTAAGTCACGGAAAATGTGAGCACAGAAGGTCTGTGAACATTGTCCATTCCCGAGACTTAATTTGAGGGCTGAAAAGATTTCCCTTTTCAATCTGTTTGTTTAGCACCAGGATATAACAAACTGATCTGGCAGTTGCAATCCAAATATACACACACACACACACACACACACAGACACACCTTGGTCTAACCATATGACAGGCCAACTTGCCAAAAGAAGGGCGTTTACAAAAAACATTTCTACATTTCCTTTGTCTTCATGCTATATGTGTGTAATATCCAATACAAAAATAAAATTCAGCAGTCTGGATATATGTTTTAAAAGCCTTCTAAACCCAGAATCTTTGTAAGAAAGAAACAAGGGACTTACCTTTTTGTAGGCTCAGAGGCTAAGCAGGTTCAGCGTTGATTAGGACTTGGGAAACGGGGGAGTCCAGAGAATTCTAAGATGTAGCCTAGATTGAGAAGCCCCCCAAAACATCTCAGAAGCGAGGAATGGAACATCATTTGCAAACGGTTCCCAAGAAAATACAGGCCTGAGTTCCTGGAGGCACCAGGATAGCTTCAGTTGGAGGGAAACCTGACCATCCCTTAACGAGAAAATAAACAGCGCAGCCAATTTAAAGTGTCTTTCACAAACCCCGAGTTGCAATTCTACAAAGAAGACCTTCCAGAACAGGTCCTCTCCACTGAAGTCAAGAAGGGGCTTGGAGAAACATCCTTGCTGAGGACCGTAAGACACCAAAGGCAGAGAAAAAAAGACTTTGGAAGCCTGTTTAGGATTTCTGGGAACTGTAAGCCAATTCCTGGGCAGGCAGTGACTTTGAGGGCTGCCAAGCGCTCTTGTTGACCTCCAACCTGATCCTGCGGCTCATACAAAGATCCTGGGACTCAGCTGCCCAATTGCAAGAGGACTCGGCCCAATGAAGTCATATCCCCCCTAGCTCTAAGGAAAGTCCTCAGCCCAGCCTCGCGAACAGAATGTGGGGCAACTGCCTGGAACGGCCTCTGCTTGAGACCCTGGGAAGGGGCTCTAGAGTCACAATCCCACCTGTCGTGGCCACGTGGGCCAAGATGTGTCTTCCAAAGAGAAAGGTGCATATTGCCTTCAGTTGCTGCAGAAGGTCCATTGTCATCTCTTGTTTATTTCTCCAGCTCATCCTCTCCAGAAAGCCATGATCTCTGCAAACAGCTTTCCTGGATTGATGAGTGGTGCACAACTCTTGGGTTAAACCACCAACGTAAAGCACACTTGGTGAAAGCAAATATTTGACTTCCATCCTTCCAGTTTGTTTGCCTGTTTAATGTGGTACCAACCCTTTTCCCATATAAATAAGGGTGTCCTGGAGGAAGCAGCTGGTGCTTTTCACAAGCTAGAGATGGAAGCACCAACATTCACACGTTCTGCTAAACCCTGGTTTGCTTTAGCCACTTTTTTTTTTAACAGGACAGAGCTGGCTTTCCAGACCTGTGAAGTAATTGGTTCAGAATCTGTTTAGGTTTTCTGGAATTCCACGTCAAATTTTAACAGGTATTAGGGGTGATTTATGGCTGGCTTTGGCATACTTTATCATGTGTGCAAAGAAAGGCAGATCTAATATTCAGTGCTGTTATCTCCAAAGTTTTTTTTTTATTAAAAATATAAAACAGATCTGACTCAATCTTTAGATAACAACTTACATCACTGTAGGCTCTCTGATTTTCACCTGTATCATTTTTCAGGCCAAAAAGGACGTCTGTTCGTTTTATGGGTGCTCGTCTGTACCCAGTCACTTAACTCAGGGGCCTCCAAACCTGGCAAAGAGAAGACTTTGTGGACTTCAACTCCCAGAATTCCTCAGCCAGCCTTCAAGTGGCCAAGGTTGGAGGCTCCTGACCTCGTCCATCACCTCTTCCTTCTACTTCTCATCCCTTCGCCTGGTTTAGTTTCTTCTCCTCCATCAGCTCAGTGTTTCTCAATCTGTCCAACTTTAAGGTGTGAGCACCACTGAAAACCCCTTTGATTCCAGGATCCGTTTCCGCCCTCCTTTTTGTGACACTGGGCCACGTCTTCTGGTGGCACCAAGCAGGGGAGGGGGAAAAAAATATATGTCCCTTTGAGCATGTGGAAGAGCAGCTCTTGAAATGCCATCACGCTGAGATGGGAATGTTGTCCTCGGTGCGCCTGAGGCTGAGCAAGATGTAAATTGCTCCAAAACCAGAGAGCAATCTTGTCTGTGTCATTAATAATTCTCTCTGAAATAAGCATAACTGCATATTTGCTTGATCGTATCAGAGGGCGAACGCAGCCGGCTGACACGACAACAGAGGGAGATAAGTGAACTGAAGGAAGGAAGGAAGGGAGGGAGGGAGGGAGGGAGGGAGGAAGGAGGGAGGGAGGGAGGGAGGGA